AGGGGAGAACAAGGAGGCGTGGGGGGGTGGTGGGGGGGGCCGCAGCCCGGGGGGGGGGAAGCCGTGGGTGGACAAAGGCAGGGGCAGTGAGGGCGTCGGGGGCCGGTGGGTGAGCTGCGCGGACGAGGAGGAGGCAGATGAGGAGGAGGAGGACGAAGAGGATGATGAGGGGGGAGGCTGAGCCACGGGAGGGGCCGGGGCCTTGGGGGGCGGCCGTGAAGAGCTGGGGAGAGAAGTGGGGAGATGAGTGAGGGGGTTGGGAGGTGTCAGCTCTGACGGGAGGGGGTCAGAAGCCTGGGTGATAACATGACCCTGGTTCTCCAACATGGGCAGTGGCAGAACCCGGCCCCCAAGACCCCCCCCCAGGGAACCCATCCTCAGACTGAGGTGCCTCCCACACCTAAAAACCCCCTCTTCTCCCTCTCTGGGTCTCTGCTTCCACACAGCTGCCTCTGCCATCTCCAGCCATATGACTTTCCCTTTTCTGACTCAACCACAGCACAAAACAGATCACTCATTTTGACTCTTAATTACAATGGGCCACCTGGGTTCCCACCCTAAGACAGTGGAAGCAGCACCTCTGGCCTGGCCTGGAAGTCAGGAGACCTGAAATCTAGGCCCATCTTGCCATTAATGCCCTGGGTGACCTTGAGCAAGTCACTGCCCCTCTCTGAGCCTTAGTTTTCTCAATAACAACAACAGTGATAATGATGGTAACAGTAATAGTAGCGATAGCATCAGTAACAGCAATGATTCTTACCCTTTGGTGAGCACTTCCTGTATGCAAGCCAAGTGCTGGCATCTGCCTTACACGCTAACGCAAGTCTCCAACATTTCACACCCTTCCCAGTTGTGGCTATGGCCATGTAACTGTCTGTACCGTACCATTTCTATAACTTAACTTCTTTCTATAACTTAACTCGGTTTCTTTCTTTTTTACTTAGCCTCGCCCTAAGCAGTAATATGTGAAATCAAGGGCACATAAAAGCTAACCCTTGACTGTTTTGAAGAGTTGACTCACACAGGACCTGAAGTCATCCCATGTATCACTAATGATAAGTACACACTTTGGGAAACACTGCATTCACTCAGAGTCAATCCTCACAGCAGCTTTAGGATGAAGGTACTATTATTAGTTTATTTCACAGAAAGAGGAAATGAGGCTCAGAGGGGTTAAGTGACTTGTCAAAAATCACACAGCCAGTAAGCAGAGCAAGAATTTGAATCCAGGTATGACTGACACCAAAGCCAGCACTCTTAATCATCATGTCAGCATTTCCCAAAGTATGTTCCAGAGAACACTATTAGTAGCAGATAAGTCTTCCAAAAAGTTCTCACCAGCAAATAAAACTAGGAAATGGCACAAACTGGATCCCCCGGCACGTGAACATAGAAAGGGCTTAGCTAAGTCCTGCAGCCATCTCTTTAACTTGTTTCACCCGGTATCTTTCAAAGTTTTCAGCCTCAGAATCTTTTTTCAAGTCACATCCCATAGGCATCCCATATCCCAGTCACAGGTTGCAGGGGTTGGTGCCAAAATGACCAGGCTCTTCAAGATCAGATCAAACCCATGGACCACTCACCTGCCAGTGCTGAGGTCCAGGCTGTTGCCATAGGGAGAAGTGCGGAGGCCAAAGGGTGAGACCCGAAGCTGCAGCTGGGGTTGGGGTGGGGGTGGCAGACTGGGGGTGGCCGGCAGGGGTGCAGGGGGTGAGACAGGAGGCCGAGGGGCCGGTGGAGGCGGTGGTTCCTTTGGGGGGAAAGGCACTAGCAGCGGGTCGGGCCCTGGGGGCTGTTCCTGGCTCCGCTCCAGGCCCGACACTTTAGGGACCACGGAGAGTTTTGCTTCACAGTTCCCATTGAAGGCGCCGTGGGGGCCCGAGGCTGTGAGGGCAGGATGGCAGACATGTTCAGCTAAGGCTCATGCTTACACATTTCCCTCCCTTGCCTCCAGCCCCAGCCCTTGGGACCAACCTTTGCTGGTTGAGACAGTAAAGGATGGGTCGAGGTCATCATCGGAGACCTGGGGAAGAAGGGCAGGGATAGGGTTAGCTTGTGGTCAAGCCAGGCCTCCACACAGGAATACCAATAGTCTCTGGCGCCTGCTAGGAACTGGTTGTGGTGGCAAGTCTGTTCCATCAGCTTAGTTGAGATCCACCAAAGACTGTGAACTGTATGGGGGCCTAACCATGGATAAAGGAATGGAGCAGCTGAGCCCAAGAATCTGATAGGCCAGGAAGACTGAATCAAAGCAGCACTGAAGTGGCAGAGAAGCAGGCAAATCGAAGCAAAAATATCAGCGATTACTAACTGCTGACCCACAGGCCCATCTGACCTACAAATCTGGTCTACAAGTGTCAGTAAAAATTTTTAAACTTTGCTGATACTTACTTGTTTATTTATTTATCTTTTGGTGGCTGGCCAGTACTAATTGATACTTAGAGATCCAGAGATTCCTTGTTAAAACCCAGACTTACAGGTTCTCTCAACAATGGGCCCCCATTCTTGTGTGGCAACAATGAGCTAGAACTGGATAGCGACCACCCCCCTCTAGATGGGCAAGAAGTCCGATTCACCATAGTCCCTGTCCAGCCAACTTTTAAAATGAAAATAAGACACACATCAGGGAGTGCAAAGTTAGTTACATACAGGGGCCAAGTGGGTAAACCATTAACTGCTAGAACACATCTGAAAACAAGAAAATCAGCCTTAATAATAAGCTGAAATACAACTTTATGGGATAAGTTCTTACACTGACTACAATGGTTTAATGTCCACACTGCCAGGACCATGGTCTCTGCTCAGACTCTAATCTATGAGACCCTAATTATGAGAGCACACTAACAGCCAGCAGCAAGGACCATCTCAATTCCACAGCCACTCTGGATTTCTGTGGAGAGCCAACATAGCTCCAAGAGCTTTGAAAAGAATGGCATGCCAAGACACAGACTTTCCATTCTTTGATCAGCTAGTCCTAGTCACCAAAAAAAAAGAAGCCATTTATCCTCCCCCCCTTCCTCCCCCAAACCTAATCCTGGCTCAACCTAACCCATGTTCCCTACTCAAGGGGAGGATCTTTATGCTGCACGTAGAAGTCCTTTAAGCAGCAGTCCATTTTACAACCTGTGACACTGCCCACCCAACAAATTCTAGCCCCACTCACCCTCTCGTCCAGATCACTTTCCGCGTCACACTGGAGAGAAGGAAAGACAGGTGTCATGAGAGGGAAGAGGAGTGGGGCCCAAGCTGGAGAGGGGAGGGGCTGGTACAGGTGGATAGCACTTACTATGTATCCAGCTTCCAGAGAGTGACGGGAGGAGGCCTGAGAAAGACCAGAGTCCAGAGGTAAAGGAGGCTGTGACTGGTGAAGCAGCTGGTTAAAGTCTCAACTCCCAGCAAGGCACTCAAAGTCTCTTATGATCTATTCTCAAACTCTTTTTCTAGCTGCCTTCTCCTGCTACTGCCCACCCCCATTCCCAATGCTCTTGTCATTTTCTAAGTACACCAGTTCTCACATTTCTGTGCTTGGCCCAAAAGAACTTTTCCCCCTTTTCCCCTCTTAGCAAATTTCTGACTTCAGGGCCTGACTAAGACATCCTAGGGGGCTTTCCCTAACCACAACCCTCCTCCCTTCCCCCAAGCAGAATGAGTGGCTTCCTCATGTAAGTTTCTGTAGCATCTCTCCCAGATCTCTGCCTTCTGTAGCCATTCAAGTTATGGTCTAGGTGTTTGCTTGTTGACTATTTCTTTCCTGCTAGAATGCCACCACCTTGAGGGAAGGGCAGGGACCACATCTAATTTATTTATGATTCAACTAAATCCCTTTGATGTGTCTCTGAATTATCCATACGTTTGAAGGAAACATGATATCAGCCAAAAGCAGGTGAGTCTGACTGTAGACAGGTCTTTATCAGACCTGGATAGGAGTATGGGCTCAAATTTGCTCTGCCTTCCTCTCTGCCTTTAGAGACTGGGGTCACCGTTTACCATGGGCATTGCTGATGGAAAACGGTTCTATGTAACGGACATTCTGCATAGTTTTAAAGGATGGAGATCTGGGACAAGCTCACCTCTTTCCTTCTCCGCTTATTGGGCCATTTTCGGGCCCGATCTCCAGGGGGTCGGCCAGGCTCCCGATCAGAGCTGTCCCCTGGCTCCCCAGTGGCCCCACTGGAGCCTCCCCTCTTCCGCTTCCCAGAATGCTTCAGCCGATGTTCCAATCGCTCTGGGGGCTGAAGAGATGCATCCTTCTGTGGAGGAGGAGACAGAATTGAGATGGACAGAAAAAGGAAAGCTCCTGACCTCTCTAAGGGTGACCAGGCCACCAAAATGCCTCTCAGGCCGGGTAATCTGGTTGATCCCTGGAGACTAGCTCTACCTCCTCCCACCCTAGGGTGGGGCAGAAGCCTGGCCAGAGGAGCCGGTTGCTCTGGTTTGGGGTGCCAGCATTCCCCCCTCAATTCCACCCAATCTAGGCACTGTACTCTTCTCTCTGCCCCTCTGAAACCCCCAAAGGCCCCCAGCCCCATGAGGCCCCACCTGCAAAGCCTCGAGGCTGGCGAAACTAGCGATGGCGAAGCCATCGATCAAGTCTTCCTCCTCTTCTTCCTCCTCTTCGGGCTCCTCCTCGGCTTCCCCATCGTCTGCACCCCCATCCTCCTCCTCCTCCTCTTCCTCCCCGCGGCTGCCCGAGCCGGCAGGCCGCTTGCGAGCTCGGGGTCGCGGGGGCCGAGGCCTAGGACGAGGTCGCCGCCGTCTAGGGCCCCCAGGCCGCTCTCCAGACGAAGCTGACGACCACGGCCTGGCGGGCGGCGGCGGCGA